CCATCAGCCCTCGAACGCGGATCCTGACATAAGCAAACGACAACCACTATGATCCAGGAGGGAACTCACGTCATCTATAGTAACGAGCGTATGGTCACTTCCCCGTCGACTCCCCGTAGGGTCACGGCTCGACACCCTGGTGCGTCGTGCCGCCCGCCGAGGCAGGATGGGACGTGACCACTTGCTGAATGAAGCCAGAGCACGGCCCTATCAAGATCAACGAACGTGCTATCCCTAGCACAGTCTGCCATATCAGCGGGGCTGGCTCAGAGGAAAAGGAAGACCGGGCACCTTTGAAGGACTTTTTTGGCCTCTGGGTTTTCTTCTTTCTCCCATCTATAACCCCTGCTTTCCCTTGGTCTATAAAAGGAAAGGTAGGGCACCCCACTAAGGGGACGGACCAATTCGACACACAACACACCACATAACACATAGCTGAGCAGCAATCGAGCTCTCAACGTCCTTTTGACCTTTCCATCAAAGACTTGGGACCCGTCCCTCTCTCAACCATTTACACCCCCTACTATGAACATTTTTTAGTGCTAATAACACGAGCAGCAGCATGACTGGACGTAGGGATATTATGCCCGAACCAGTATAAACCTTGTGTCTTTTAGCACACCATCCAGGCCTAACGGGCAACAAATACAAATTTATTAGTTGGTGGTTATTCGAAACACCGACAATGGCCATTTTAGTCCTAAAACTCTATTTTTAGGCTTAATTTCGTCCCAGGGGCTATGAAGATGATCGTTTTAGTCCTCAAACTATGCATTTTGGGCTCAATTTCATCTATAAACTATCAAAGTGCATTTTGGTCTTTAAACTTTTATTTTTCAACTCAATTTTGTCTATTAAAAATAAAACTTTTATATTTTAGGTACAATTTCATCTATGAATTATCAAAATGCATTTTGTCACAACTTCGTCCTTTGTCTGGCACCACTCACGATTTGAGATGGACAGTCATCGTTAGGTACTATTGTCCCTAGCGTCGTCCCAACTACCAAATCGGAGGGCACACTTTTAACATTTGTATTCATATTCCAAAACCAACTAAAGGGCTAGATGTACTTACAAATGGCCACTAAAGTGTTTTTGGAGGAATATTATTTTTTTTATCTTCAATTGCTAGTGGTGTTGAAGCTGACCAGGTGCAACAGCATAGTGTTCCATATAGAACAATAGACAAAGTTGAGTTTGAAAATAAAAATTTAAAGACTGAAAACGTAAAGTTTGAAGACTAAAATGGTCATCTTTATAGTTCGAGGATAAAATTGAGCCTAAAATACAAAGTTTGAGTACTGAAATGATCATCTTCATAGTTCTAAGATGAAACTGAGCCTAATAGTAGAGTTTGAGAACTAAAACAACTGTTTTAAAAGTTTAAGGAATATTTCAGGGACCAAAATAACTATTCTGCCAATTATTTTGCTTGCAAAAATTAGCCGCCCAAATAGTAAAACTGCTTTATAATTTACTTTAAAAAAGACAACTTGTGGTAAAGTATAGTCTGTTCATTTTAGACTTATTTGCTCGTATCTAATTTATAATCCATTATTTAAACAATATTTTTCTTTCACACTAAATTAACCAGCAGAACTTCCAGCCATGGCTTATACCTGAGCCGAAACGAACATACCGCTAATCCATGCGATGACAAATGGATGTGTCCAAGCTGCGGTCAAATCACGAATCCGAAAGATGCTTCGCTCGCTTCATCGCTTGTATAAAAATGCTCATCTCGAATCAACTTCAAGGAAGCAAGAAACCCGCCGTCGAGGGAAGGAGATGGCCGAGCCCCTCTCAAATGGCACCGCTCTACCACCGGTGCTCGAATCCTATGTGCTCCCGGAGCACAAGAGGCTCGAAGCTCGCCGCCGTCTTCCACAAATGGTGATAGCCGTGATACTCAGAGGTTGACCTCGGGCGGCGATGACCCACGACAGATGGCGGAGCAGATCGTCGCCCAGGGGAGAGAGTTCGGTTTCTTCCAGTCGAAATTCTTTAGTTTGCTCATCCTCACTCGTCGATCCCGGCGGCAGTGATTTATACTCGGGGGCGGACTCAGAATTATACTCCAGGGGGTGAGACCTTGGGCGCTGTGTGTCATTGCGATAATTTTATTATCTAGGCGTGTTTTGTATAATTATATTATCTAGAAGATATTAATAGGTATATATGACAAGAATTTTATATTCTCTCCTCTTAATATAAAGAAAAAATATTAAGTCATACTACTATTTTTTATTGTTGTGAAACATTGGGGGCCATGGTTCCACATGAGCTTGGCTCCGCAAGGAGCGATCCTGGAGCATAGCTCTCTCGCTCAGAGACTCGGGAGCTTCTCAATCCAAAGAAATGAGACCTTGGGCGCTATATCTGATCGACGACAGTGATCAACCACGGTGTGCCGGCGGGAGGGGTGATCGCCAGCTCCATGATGAGCGCGCTGGAGGAGTTCTTTAGGCTCCCGGCGGGAGAAGATGGCGCTACTCTCCACCGACAAAGACGCTGCTGCGGTTCCACACGAAGCGCCGGCAAGGAGCAAGAGCAGCTCTCGACGAGGGATCGCTCAAGATCGGCCGCTACCCATTCGAGGAGTTCACGCGCGACAAGCCGGCCGGGCTCGATCATGAACGTGAACCACTACGGCGGCGGTCGGCGTGGCGCGTGTCTTTGTGGCTCGCCAGCGGGGCTAGGGGCTTTCGCGATCACTTTTTTTTCACCGCAGGCTGCAATGATCATGAACGTGAACTCTCACACAATACCAAAGATGACGCGGTAAATCGCATACCAAAGATGAATAAAGATTTCGTCCTCATGGACAAAGACGTCCGCGTGGTGTGCGCGCCCGGCCCGAGACCGAGCACCAAGGCGCGAAGGGGAAGGGTGGGCGGCGTCGTGGACCCCCCCGAACGTGATCGCCGTCAACTCATGGACACCGACGTGGAGGTGGTCACCAACGCAGCGCGGCGCCGCGACACAACGCAGCACCAAGCGCGCCGCTGGCGCAGGTGGGTCGCGCGTTACCCCATGCCCGCGATGGGTTGCGCGTCGTGTCGCCAACCCGGGATGGTGGCACCGGGATGGAAGTGGTCTCGTGCCCTACACGCATTGTGGAGTTTGTCGCCGCGTACACCGCAGCCAACGCGGCACAGACACCGCCGTGGCGCGGCGATTGCGCACGAAACCACAATGGTCGATCGACGATCGCGACGCGCGCATTCTCTCCTTTTTCCCTCGAAAACAACGATGGGAAGTGTGTATGTCGCCGCCGCCTCCATGGTGGCGAGGGAGAGGTGCCACAAAACGCAAAATACGTTACGCATAGTGTTTTCGTCATAGAATCACGCCCAACGGAGCATGCATCCGGCGACCATTTTGGGTAATCTCGCGAATCGATAGGCAAAAAAGAGTCGTCTCGAACCACGATTGCAGCATTAGAGAGGCGTGAGCTCCATGGCACCGACGGGGAAGCATAGCAGTAGTGGGTGGAGGAGAAGCATAGCACGGCGGTGGCGGTGAGGAGCTCGGCTCTGGCCGCGCTCGGCTCCGACAAAGGGTGGCGGCGGGTGGACACCGCAGTGGGGGCGGGTGGAAGAAGCAGAGCACGACGGCCACCACCACCACCACACCCGCCGGCCACCACCACCACCATGCACCACCGGCCACCACCGGCCAGATCCGGGAGAGGGAGAGCCAGGAGAGGGAGGGCCGGATCCGGCCACCACCGGAAGGGCCAGGGAAGAAGAAGGGGAGGGAGGGCCGGATCCGACCGGGGAAGAAGAAGAGGAGGGAGGGCCAGATCCGGCCGGGGTGCTCCTCGGCGTGGCCCCGGCGTAGGGCTCCTCTGCTCGGGGCCACGGACGACGCGACGGGCGGCCATGGCGGCTTCTCCGGGCCAAGGGCATGCGCGCGCGCCCACCGCCCGAGCTCTCGGCGCGCAACCTCACGGGTAGCCCATGGCGTAAATATCTCGACAGAAATATCTAGGGCCAGGAGGGAGGGCTAGATCCGGCCGGGGAAGAAGAAGGGGAGGGAGGGCCGGATCCGGCCGGGAAGAAGAGGAGGGCCGGGAAGAAGAAGGGAGGGAGGGGCCGCGGGGGAGAGGCGGGTGCTCGAGAGGCCGTGGGCCGCGGTGAGGCTGGGGCGGAGCTCGCCCGCGGCCACCGGGGCCGAGCATTCTCGGATTTGGGACCGCTCCCCCTGGTGATGAGCAGCGCCGCCGGTGATGAGCAGCGTCGTGCCCGGGGAAGAGAAGGTCGTCAGGATCCGGCTCCACCTAGCTCGCATTGTCCTCCCTGCCTCCACCAAGCCGAGGGAGAGGGAGAGAGAGAAAGGAGAGGTGGAGGGGAGGGGGCGCAGACGGGAGCCACAGCACGGGCGGTGTGGGCGGAGGAGATGGAGGAGGAGATGAGATATTTTGGGCAGGCACGGTGAGCTATTGGAGAGGCAACGTTTTGGGTCCATCACCTATTTACTGTGCCGAACCTAATTTCTAGAATGCATCGCTGATATGGGTAGGGTATGGACTATTGGAGATAGTCTTAGTGATCTGGCCGGTGGGTGTCAACTATAAGGGCCTGTTTGGCGTGGCTCTAGAGCTGAACTCCAGCAACTCCAGCCAATTTTCTAGCCAAACACCTCAGCTCCAAAACTCCATGGAGCTGCCAACTCCATGGAGCTGTAGTGCAAATGGAGGTGGAGTTTTGGAACACCTCTTTTGCAGCTCCAAAACCACCCAATATGAACCTCCTCGTGGAGTTGGTGGGTAATTACCCACCAATGCCACTGGTTACACAAAAAACGGTTCGTTCTTTTCCTCCCGAGACCCCCACGCCACATCTCCCTCCTGCGCCTCCTCCAACCCGTGATTGCTCTGTTCGGCGCCTGACCCCCGCCGCCACTAGGGTTTGCCCTCCGCCACCCACACCGGCGGCCGCCATCCATCCCCGCCGCCGGCTGCCCGAGCCCCACCAAACGCCGCCGCCCTCCTACTACTGGCGGGCATGGAGCCACTCCACGACGCGCCACAGCTCGTCCTCTAGCACACCGACAACTTGGCGGTCTAGCGCCGCCGTGACGGCGGGCAACCCGGCGTCGAGGTCGGCGTGCACACAGGTGAAGTGGACAACGCTGCCATAGTACCCCCACGGTAGTGGCGCGTACATCCTCTTGTGGAAGTCCAGCGCCAGCGTGAGCAGCGCGCGCACCGCAGGCGTCGGGAAGTGGAATGTGGCGGAGGACATGGCGGCGGGCGGCGCGCCGACCGGGATGCGACGCTGGACTTCTCGGCGAGCAGAGGCGAGGGCGGGGGCGGCGAGGCTAGGGAGACCTTGAGCGCTGGGGCATGGAGAATAGTAGAAGATGCAGTCCAAATATCTAGTAATTGGCTACTGATTGTTTATCCATACTACTCATTATGTGTTGAACAAATTGGATTAATCGATGTTCAATGACTTGGCATGACTTGGCTTGAAATGTATTAGTAATTATTTTGGAATTTACTGCATGTATTTTCATTTCATATTTGTGAGAAATTCAAGTCATTCATTTTGTCTAAAGAATGGTGTATTTATTCAAACCAGGGGCAAGAATGGCAATCTACCCTCAAACTCCTCTTTTATGGAGCTGAGAACACCCTCCCAGCCAAACACCTCCATCAGACATCTCCAACTCTACCCAGAGCTGGCTCCACCTGGAGTTCTGGAGTGGAGCAGCTCCACCCAAAGTTGGAGCCATGCCAAACAGGGCCTAAGTGTCGTTGGCCACGTGCGTTTCGCTCAAAAGTCAGGCTAAAAAATACCGGCCGCTAATTTATTGTGAGAAAAAAACATTGTACCTTGGCTAATAAGTTCAAGCGAGCAGGGCCATTATCTTTTTTTAAGCGAACTTGCTAGCGCGTGTCCGGACGCTGCCATGCACGTAAGAGAACCCACGACCGTCTGCTTTCGTGCGCCCCACCACATAGACCCCATGCTACTTCCTGTCCCTACTATCGCGCTCACTTGTTTTGCCCGATGATTGTTATGCCCACACACGGAAAATCCACGTGGTCCCAGTTTCGTGCCTCCCTGTGGAGGTGTCTGCCATCCCCAGGCCCTCGCACGGTGACCCACCGCGGCGCCCTAGCAGCAGCTACCGGCGTTTGCAGCAGATGGGTCCCATTACAACATGTGCAACATCCCGATCTATTTTTAAAACATCCAGATAAAAATTCTTGCAACATACGTCTGAAAACAGCTGAAACACTTGCAACATACATCGGAAACACCTGAAAACACTTCAAATTCATTGCAAAAACATATGCAACATCTAGATCTACTTTTGTAACATCCAAATGAAACACTTGCAACATACGTATGAAACACCTAAAACACTTGAAACATACGCTTGCATCATGCATGTTATACAACATCCAGATATACTTCTGTAACATCCAAATGAAACACTTGAAACATATGTTTTAAACACCTGAAGCATATGCTTGCAACATGCGTATATAGCCATTGCAACATACAGAAACAATATTTAGATTAAACACTTGAACACATACATCTGAAACACATGAAATACGACATCGCCGGTGGCCACGACCTACCTTGTGTGGAACTGCGGTAGCCAGCAAGCGACGCTTGAGTGCACTAGAGAGCGAGGATGGCGGCAGGCGGGCGGCTCAGCGCGGTGGAGAGAGAGGAAGGATGGCGCCTAGGCGCGCTGCAGTGGTTGTCGTGGACCACACCGAATCCATGGCGGCACAGGGTCAACAATGAGTGGTGGCGCCCTCGGTGAGCAGCCCCACGGTGGAGGCAGCGGCGTGGTCAGGCGAGTGTATGCCTCCAGCAGCGATGCACTCCCTGCTGCTAGAGAAGGTCGCGCGTGGGCTAGTGCTATGCCCGTGGCGAGGCGCCCCCGCACTAGAGAACATCTGAAAGCCCTAGTTTAGTTTTGGATAATTGATGAAACCTAAGTGGACTAACCAATGTCATTAAGTGATGAATATGAGTTAGGTTGGTACACACCAAGTGATGGAGCTAGATGATGGTCATGGTGGTGGTGATGGCCAAATGAGATGATCAAGTGCTCCCACTTGGAAAACAAGAAAGGGAAAAACAAAATGGGCTAAAGGAAAAGGTATAAAACCTAAGGCCATTTTGTTTTGCCGGTCAAGACATAATAGAGTGCGTGATCGGGTTTAGGATAGATAACCATACTATAAAGAGAAAAAATCTTTAATTGCAATATGTCGGGTATCAGTATTAGAGATACCCAAAGAAGGGATCTGAGGACCACGAATGACAACTCGCCTAGATAATCAAGGACGTATTTTAGTCTCAACCGACCCCAAAGGGACAGTTTCCGCCTCGACAGACCCCTCAAGCACGGGCCCCATGTCTCCCGACCCCGAGGGTACGAGAGCCGTGTCACCTGACCCCGTGGGTACGGGAGCCGTCTCGCCCAACCCCAAGGGCGCAGGCTCTGTCTCGCCAGACCCCTCGGGCGTGGGTTCCATCTCGCTCGACCCCGAGGGCACGCGCTCCGTCTCGCCAGAACCCTCGGGCATGGGTTCCGTCTCGCCCGACGGGACTCATACCGCCTCGAACCACTACGGGTCAAAGAGTGTGACCCTAGGGTTAAACTTCTGACATCGGGAGGGAAGCAGACATATCTCGACGTGACCCATGGCCACGATAGGCCACGCTCGGGGGTTTGCATCGCCAATAGTGATGGGTGCGTGGTCGCTGTGCTGCCTAACCCCGTACAGTCGCTGACAGGAACGTCAGTTCACCTCGCCATCCACCGGGATGAGATGGGACGCCACGACCAGCTGATGATGTCAAGGCATGGCACTAGTGGTGAATAGGATCCCAATGTGGAGGCATCCCCATCACCATCTACAACATCGGTGGGACTCCACATGAAGGAGAAGAAGGACGCGGTGGCCCTAGATAACTTTTTCTCCCTCACTTTTCTCCTTTTCTCTCTTTCTCTCTCTGTAACCTATGCCTTCCCCTTCACCTATAAAAGGGGAAGCAAGATGAGAGCACGAGGAGGGGGCTGAACGAGCTCAACAAGACTCAACTCCATTCGATCTTTTCACCAGAGACTTGGGACCTTCTCCCTCTCTCGCCTGTTTGTAACCCCTACTATAAACTAGTGCCGGTAACACGAGCAGCAGTAGACTAGATGTAGGGACATTCCGTCTAAACTAGTATAAATTCTTGTGTCCTTCGAGCACACCATCTAGGCCAGACATGCAGATACAAATTTACTAGCCGGTGATCCAAAACACCGACACAATGGTTATCTAGTGTCACTAAGTGTGAGTCTTATTTGCATATACATTGCGCTTAGTGATGTGGTGAGATGCGTGAGAAAGCTTAGGAATTTTCTTTTTGAAAAGCTATCTCAAGTGCTAAATTTGGTTTGGTGCTTTTTGGGAAGAGATAGCACTTGTTTTGGGCATGTTGTGATGTCTAACTGGAATTTCTTGCTCATAGTGCTAATTATTCTAGTTAGAGGTGCTCTGTTTGTTTGGCATAATTAACTAGAAGTTCATTGCGCTTGAGCTAGAATTTCCAGTGCGGGAGGCTAATGATTTGGAGAGGAGCGTCGGTCGAGAAATTCCAGGCCACTACATAGAATTTCTAGTGTGGGAATGGGCACCTGCATAGCAACGATCGGGAGGCTGGCTAGCTGGGGATAAGGCTAGGTCTCCCCCTCCCTTTCTTCGTCCTCCAACCATTCATCTTTCTTACAAGAACCCTAAGAGAAGAACAAAGCTCTCTCCTCTCCCCTCTCTCACTCCCAAGGATTTGTGCTCCATTCAAGTGAGAGGTTGAGCTCTAGTGTTGATTTTGAGAGCTTCAAGAGCATTCCCTCTCCTCCCCCTCTCCTAGCTTGGTGCTCATTCATGAGAGGATTTGGGGAAAACCCTAGTGTGTGCATTTGAGGTTGCACATTTGGTGGCACTAAGTGATTCTTGTGATTGTGGATTTCTTATTACTCTTGGTGATTGTCGTCATCTAGATGGTTAGTGATTTGTTGATTGGTGAGGGGATTTGGTGATTATGTTCAATCAAGGATATATTTGTGAGGGGTTCTTGGGCTTATTCCCGGTGAAGTGTCAAAAGCCACTCTAGTAAATTGCTCATCATTGAGTTACCTCACTTGTGGGTAGGTTCTTGTAGTGCCCATTTGTTGGGCTAAGTTTGTGAAATACCTATTAGCCGCCGAACCACCATGTGTTGGTCGACACAACGCGGACTAGCGTGCCGGTAAGCACGTGAACCTTAGGAGAAAAATCTTGTGTCTATTGTGATTGGAATTCTCCTGGTGATTCACTTGGTATTCATATTGTGATTGTTTCATCTCTCTTACCACGACAGTATAATCATCCTACTCACTCTCTTGTATTTACATTGATATATAGTTGTGTAGCAAGCTCTTTAGTGTAGCTAGTTTGAGAGCTTGCTTGTTAGTTGAGTAGCTCATTTAGTGAAGCTCTTTAGTGTAGCGTGTTTGGGAGCTTTTAGTGAGTAGTGACTTAGCCATTGATTGATCTAGAGACATTAATTAACTAGAATTGTTGGGATAGATGGCTTGCAACCCTTTGTAGAGCTAGAGCAAAAAGCTTTGCTTCCTAATTGACTAATTAGCTGCTTTAGTGGTTTTGTAGAAATTTTATTAGGCTATTCATCCCCCCTCTAGCCATTTAGAACCTTTCAATGTCGTGGCGAGCGGCCCCGCTCTGAAGAAGGTGAGTGGCGGGTGACGCGGTGAAATCTACTATGGCGGTCTATGGCGTGGTGCGGAGGTGTAGAATGCCATGATGGGAAAGCAAGGAAGATTGGAGTCCAGCAGTTGTTTTCTCTACAACTAAAACATTTGTAAGGGAATCGTCGACCAGGTGTGCGATACCTCGCTCGGTTCGTTCGCTCTGCTCTACCTTCGTCCGTGCAAAAAAAAATCTGCCTCCTCGCTCGCCTAAGTCACGCCTCCAATCACTCTCTCCCCCTCGTGAGATCCCTCTCCCCCGTGCAGTCATGCCCCTCGCCGTGCGCTCTCGCGTGCCTCTCACGCGGTCGCCCACGCCGGCACCTGCTCTCCCTTGCCATCGCACTCGCACGCCGTCGTTGCCTTCACCGAATGAATGAGACCTCGCCGAACAGATGAGCCCCCGCGACCACGATCCCAGCACACCGCCATCAGGAGAAGCCAAGCCTGAACATCGCTGCCTCCTCTCCCT